CTGAAGCTTTGACACGGATAACGCGGTCGTGCACAACAACGGCCAGTAACACCCTAAACAACACACTAGTCTGTACTAGAAGACAAACAGAGGTAGGGCAGAACACCGAACTTCTGAAGAAGTGGCCAACCCATGTTTCTAGAATTCCAGTAGCCATCAGACAGGTGACACAGAGTAGCACTAGCCCGTCACAAACTAGTCCTATCTTGAGCAAGGATCATACCATGCCTGAAATAGAAGACGACGTAAAAGGCTTCAGAACAAGGCAGCCACAAGCAGTTCGCCACAATCCGTAGCACCTTATTCATGGAAGGAAGGCTGTATTACGACACCCGATGGCTGCAGTGTTTGCACCAAAGTTGTTTCGGTAGTCGATGAGGCATTTGCATGCAACCTGTGTCAACGATGGGTGCATTGCCACTGCGATACCAAAGTCCCCCGACAATACTATAAGCTGATGAAGAGACAACCATGCAAGTGGTTCTGGTACATCTGTCCAGAGTGCAGGAAAATGCCCGCACTCCGCACAGAAAGCCTGAAGGAGATGCTCTCCGCCACGCAAAAGCTACCAGCATCCTCGAATAAAGTAGGGTTAACACCAAAGGATAACACAGAGAGACCTGGAAACAGACCTAGAGCTCCAGCTGTGGGCACGCCACCTCGCGTGGGGACCATATTAGGTCAAGTCTCCATACCCCTACCCGGCCCCAGGGGACGTCAAGCGCATGGCCAAAGACATCGACCGCCGAAGCCTCTACGAAACCCATTCCGAACACCCCACACACCGTGACTGAGAAACAACCAGTGGAATTACTCAAACCCATTGGGAAGTCGGGCGTGCCACCCACAACGAACCCAGGTCACAGGAGGACCAACTCGATCATTTTGTTCAACGTCGATGTATCGACAGACTCATTGTTGGTCGAGAGGGAACAATTTGACAGCCGAATGTGGACCGACTACTGTCAGATGCTGGGACTCCCTCCCCTCCCTGCAACTTTGTGTCGCCTTTCTCGAGGAAGCCATGCACCCCGAGATAAGCCACCCCCTTTACGTGTGTCCCTAAATACCGCCAAAGAGGCTGAAGACACACCTCCTCTCGCGACAACCGGACGTTGTTAATGCCTGTAAAATTCGGGCCAGGCCTGACAAGCCATGGTCAATAAGAGAGGAGGAGAGAAAGTCAGCGGTTGGAAATCCCAACAGAAACAACACTATAGTTGTACATGGGATTCCAGAATTGCCAAGTGACAGCTCGGTCAAAGATCGGTACTTTCACGACGTCCAACAATGGCAATGGCTCTCAACCAAAGTTGGTCTCAACAGTATACCGGCCAACAGCGTCAGTAGACTGCCAAGGCCAGCGCACCTGAAGACCATACCCAATCCCAGACTACTTGCCGTCCAGTTCGACTCATATGCCTCCCTCACAGACGTTCTGCACGCATGGTATAATGCGAAAGATCGCATGGGTGGCTCAATACGTATATGTGAAAGTAAGCCTAGACCCACAAGGCAAGAGGAGAGACGGCAACCACCAAGACCTCTGGAGTCAGTGGTCGTCACACAGGCGCTGACCAGTGAGTTAGATACATCAAGTAAAGAAGCCACCACTGCTACAGCCCCCACCCAAGTTAAGAACAAAACACAAAAAACGGAACAATGCCAGTCCTATGAGGACTGGCGAGGCTAAATTCAACCACGTAAGCGCTCATCCCTCGAAAATACACATCCAGACCTCCCCTCTCATCAGGTACACTCTAATATGTATGTACAGCAACGTTAGGGGGCTAATAGGGAAGGTAGCAAAATGAGGACGCTGCGTGAACATCAGCACTCCGACATCATATTCATCACCGAATCCTGGCTCTCATCGGACATCTCCGACGAAGAGATGCGTGTTGCTGGCATGGAACTCTTCCGCAGGGACAGGGAACATAGAGCAGGAGGGGGAGTGGCTATCTACGCAAACTCCTGTTTAAAGGCAAGGATGGTTAGCGATACGGCCTTAACCCAGCTCCCAGAGTCTCTATGGTGCTACTTCACTCTCTTCTTTATTCTCTCTTCATTCCTTTACCACTACCTTACTATTCTCTTTCAGGTACCTACACAGACAGGAGTCATGGCAGTTCTCTAAACTTCCCAGCAACCCGTAGCTCCCTAATCACTCTACAAATTACAACCTACTAACCCACAAAACATCCACCTCACCGAAGCTAAAAGCAAGAAAGCAGAGGGGATTTCCTCGTCCACTGCAGGAGTAAACCGAACAACTGGAACCAAGCCCTAAGAACTAGACGCGAGAGATCAAAAACTACCAGTTTTCTACGCTCGCACTATCAATATCTGATTGGATATTGGATATTGGAACCATTTGTGTCCAGAAGGTAGTTGTTGACAATATAAATCTCTTCGAACAAAATATCCCAGTATTTTGAGTGTATTACATGCACTTCAGCCAATCCCATATAGCAAACAACCTGAGCACGATTAGATATGAGAAACCCGCTTCACTTATGTGGCTCAAGGTCGCTTGGGAACAGAAGCCAGCTTAATTCGATTTGGGGATAGCTTAGAATCACACTGCATGTGGTAATCACATCCGGTGACTGGCACCCCAAATTGCTTGTTCGAATGTTAAATGTGAATTTGTTGTGGAATACAAAACAGTAAGTGGACTTAAGATGTTTATGTCAACAAGATATCAACTCAGTAATTATTTTGACATACAAAACATGACATGCTAGAGATCTCTGACATGTCTATGCTCTCGAGAGCATAGGTCTGAAGTGAAACTAATCGCATATGTACTGTAAAAGGTACCTTTTAGAATGAATTCCTACGCTAGTTCGACAAGTAGAGTTACGATAATTAAGCACAATATGTAATTCTCTAGTCGTAGTGTGGTTTTGTAAGCTTAACTGCAGTTTTAGGAATTGTCCTGGTGCGAACTTGACAGACGCAAAAACCAATTACTAATTACTCGAACTTGTTGTATACCCACGAATATGAGACCAAGAAAGAACACAATAGCACAGTCGGATGAAACAATATATTTTGCGAGGTCGGTCCAAGATACTTATGCGTTCTAACTGGCTAGATGGTCGACTACGAGCAGTGCAACGTAACACGACAGCGTACCGAATGGTAAGGATGCTTGGCCGGGTGCCTTCAGCTTAACAAGTCCGGTAAAACTATCAGGGTCAGCATCAATATTGAGTCTCGTTGGACCGTAGGCAGTTGTATCTGGAGAAGTGTGTGACGCTACACAGTCATACAAAGCAGAAAAGAATTATCTATTTATCCAGTCAACGTTCTCACGGTGCCGTGGGACTGAATATCACTGAAAACAGCCAGAAATGATGTATTGCAACAGTATTCTTACGTTCTGTAATCGTGGTTCCTTGCTTATCATTTGGCGCCACATTTAAACTTATTATCATCATATTTCACTGCATTTAGCCGAGTTTTTTTAAAAAAATGATTAAGCCTACTCTCAACCTATCATCGCCTTCTTCGTCTTGCCAATGTTTCAAATAACCCATCCCTTTTTCACAGAAACGTAACCTAAAACCGCAAGATCAGAAAAGAAAACCGGTAACAGGAGTTGAGGACTTTTCCCTTTGGACTATATCTGAAAGCAGTGTGAGACCAGAGAATTGTTAGTTATTGAGATCCTGCGTCTGGCTCTTGAGGCGTGGTTCTCTTCATTTCCGCTCATGTAATGAGCAAGAAGACGTTCTAGTGCTCTCCTTTTAGCTCTGGTGAGATGAGTGTCGTGGGTTTATACTTGCTGCATGTAAGTGTCGGTTAGAAAGTTGAGGGCTCCTGGGAAGATTTGGGGCCTTTCGTGATTCCTGTTTGTTTAGGTGCCTAAGTGGCAGTGACAATGAGGATAAGAAGGTACACAGGATGTAGTTACTAGAGAGGAGCTAGAAGAAAGCGGGTAAAACTTAACGAACATATTATGTCGTGGATAAAAGGAAACTAAGCTGGTAAGTACGTTGCTGGTAAGCCATACATAGTTGTATAGTGTTTCAAATGAGTCCACCGAGAGGGGAATACCACTATTTTACACACTAAAGTATCCCGTAAAGCATCTGCTCGTAAGGAAAACGTTTGACCTGAGCTTAGTGTTGACTGTATGATGTGGTTTCCTCATAGTGACGGCCATGTTACAGCTAAGCTTCGTTTTTTTGCGTGACTCACTTGATGGACGACCTTTGGAACCATTAAAGTTCATCCCTTTTTCTGCGTTAGACTAAATTAAATAGGCCATAGTACCTCAGTCTGTTAGGATATTTTCCCTTTTGGTCCGACAGCTATTTTTGATGCTGATCCTTGTACCGTTTCAAGAACCGGGTGTCTCTTGAATGTCTAAGGTGTTACTATATTGAGTACTTCCAGGTGCGACCGTACGTATGACTTGAAAACTGTTGGAGAAAGTTTTCTTGTGACAACCAAAGAGAAGGGACTAGTTGAAAAGAAATATGTTTCTCAGTTCAATCAGTTTTCTTTGTATATTTTCCTATATTGATCTTGACGTTGATGAGAATGTAGTTAGAAGTATAGTCTTGATATCAAGGTTTTTGATGTAAATACATCTACACCTGCAGTTATTTCATACTATGAGTTTGCTCTGGAAATAAAATAATGCTGCAGAAAGTCATGTTTTTCATATATTGGCCTAGCTGTAAGAAGTTTTCAGCTATGTACTCTATGCACTCTATTTGTATGTGTATATATACAGATATGGACATGCAAAATTTCTCCTTTATCAAGAATAATGTTACTTGGTAAATTTTTATAGGTCACATCTATTGTAGATGGAGTCAATATGTTGTATAGCTATCTAAATTTTGAAGGATATAACGACATTCTAACCTTAAACATGAAATTTCTTTTACTGATTTATTTGTTGTATAGCAGGTATTTACAGTTTCCCCTGAGTTTCACTTTCAACTGTTAGATTTAATTACTAGAAAAGACACTCGGTTTTAATGATGCTAAAATCATCTAACGGTCTTTTATGCCGCTTTCCCGTCATCCAAAGTATACTTACATCATTGGGATGTAAGGAGAACATTTGTAAGTATTTCCATAATAATATTCTTTTTCATCTGTGATTTTGTGTCAAGATGTCAGCGCATCATTAGATCGATGGTATGTACATCATTTGCGTTCACCTCGTATTTTCACTCCACCCAAAAAACCTTTCACATATGACAACGACTGTAAGTTGATGATTTGCTTCTCAATATATTCAAAGGGGAAAATCAGCCATACAAATCAAAATCTCAGAATGAATACATGACAAATGTCGAATCATATAAAGATTTTCAGAGGTATTCAGTAATTTAAGATAATCTTATACAACTAATTTGTTTAAGTTTAGATGAACGTTTAAAAAACATGTTCACATATAAATATGTGCGTAGAGTAAGTTGAGCTTCTTTTTTCCATTTCGTCTTGCTCCTCTGTTCATAGAGAGATGAGTTGAGGAGAATTTAAACACAACTTTAAATGAATTAGGCTTTAAACCTACAGATGAGTCATTAGCTGCACAAGGTAATCACAACTTTTGATTCCTAGTTTAAATGTACACAAAAGTTGTCCGTATGACAATGGAATTACGTTACAAAAAGTGGCGCTTAAGGGAACATACTCGGGTAAGAACTTAAAATTGTTTACATGTAACACTTTTCTCCATATTTTTAGTGTACTACCCTGAAATTTGCAACTAAGTCTCTTATCAAAACTCGTTGGCGAACTCTCAGATTGTTACGTGCTACAAATGCTTCAGAGTTCGATAGAATAACATCTGCTCTGAATATTACTGGTTACCAACATGTTGATCCTTTCCAAATACCTACAGAAGATCCAATTGTTGAATGTAAGATTTCTGTACGAGCTAAATACTACCAGGTAAGACATTGTAGTAAACTTAATGCTTACGAAGTAATTGGTACAGAAATAATAAGTTTGTAGAGGGTTAGGTAGGCTTTATTTATTATGAAATTGTTAAGCAAGTGTGAAACTGTAAAACACTGCCGACTGCCCCCAGCCAACCAATATCCATTGCGAAATCCACCACGATACCGAGCCTCTTAGGTTGCTGGCCACATTGCAAAATGATCGATAGAATTCGGTCAGGACCAGACAACATAAAACTGGTTGCTCTCCAGTGGCCAATCAATGTAGCTAGTCCAGTCCTACAGGAGGTTAGTCATGGGCCGAATGACTGGATGACAAAATCAACGTAGAACCTTGCACACATGTGCATCGGTTCAAGTCGCCACACTACAGTACTACATAAAAAACAAGTGAGTAGAAAACATCGCGTAACAGAATAAACAGCTTAAAGATTAAAGGTTAGGCTGGATATTTGGGCTTTAGAAGACGTCAAGAAGTGAATACATCTGTACCATTGTGACCGATTTCCATCCGTGTCACTAAGAGTCCTCAACGATTGATTTCTGTTGCCGTGAAAACCTTAACCAGGCAGTCTACACCTTTCCACACGGCTCAGACCAACAGTTAGGGGATTCATCGACTGGTACCACGTCTTGATCTATCCAACCTGAATCCTCTTCCAACATGATCCAGTTTCCTCCAGCATTGCACTTTGAGGTAGGCGGTAGATCGGCACGTGTAGTAGATGTCCAAGTAACGTCACAACCTTTTCAGTCGAAATGCCTGTCTTGCCAAGTACTTTTGCCTGACCTCAACACTGCTCACATGGGGATTCCACCACACGCGATCAGTGTTACAAAGACATCTATGATCGAAACCCTGCAATTACTTCATGTCGTCTACTTTTAACAGCCATGTCTTACAACCGTACAACAGGATAGAACAGCCTACTGCTGCGCAGTATACTTATCGTTTAATAGATAGTCGGATATCTCACCAAGTGGCACCAGAGATGATGCAAGTTGTAAAACGCCAAACGGGCCATCTGTATCTGAGCTGAGGCTTCGTCAGCAACCAGGTCGTTTGTGTTGGTGCAACTCCCCAAGTAAGCGAAGTAGTCGGCACATTCCTCCACTTCACTCCCTATCATTAAAATGGGAGGACTTTCAGCAGCCCGTCCTACAACATCACCTTACATTTTACAGGTGTAAGAGAAACATGCCAAACATACTCAGATTTATGCTCAACGCAACCAGAAGAGCGTTGATTTTGTAAACATCTCCACCCAACAGAATAATATCGTCTTCATAATCCAAGTCAACCAGATTACCTTCAGGAAGTAGGTCAATCCGTGTGAAGTCAGATGTTCCTGAAGTAATGTCCATTAGCGCATCCATGGCGAAGTTAATTAAGAACAGGGACAGTGGACATCCTTGCTGGATACCACTAGTTGTCAACTCACTTGACAACTCTCCGTAGGCCCTTACACAACTTAGCGAGGTCGATGAGAGAGTTTTGATTAGCCTTACGTACGTGTTCATTGCTTCTGTTACACTCAGACACTGCCACAACATCCAACAATTGACAGAGTCGAATGCCGCCTTCAGATCAGGGAATGTGGCAAGTGTCGGCATCTGATAGGTATGCCTGAGTTACACGACCTGTTGGAGGGTGGAAATATAATCGATGCACCCTCTCCCAGATCTGAAACCAGTTTGGTTTTCTAGAGTTTCCTGTTCTCGAGCTGCAGTTAGGCGTTGGGTAACCGTGAATCCTAGGATCTTGGATACAACATTAGTTAAACTGTTTCCTCTATGGTTATCACAAGATTTCTCTCCCTTCTTATGAACTGGGGTGATCAGTGAAGTAAGCCAGTCTAGTGGCACTATATCTGAATCCCTAACACTATTTAGTGTACCCGCATCGCCTTAATCAGCAATTTCTTACCTCAGTCCTTGAAAACGTTGGGTGGCAAATAGTCAGATTTTCTTGCATACCGTCGTTTTAGTTTAGATGCAGCCTTCTCAACTCCTATCCAGGTTCAGACTGGATAATGGGAAACAAGTGTTACTGAGAGGAGCTGGATTGTACTGAAAGAGGGTTCAGGGTGGTCAGACCAAGACCTGGCACCAGTCGATTAAGTCTCTTACCGCTGTTTTGAGTGGTTTAAGATGTAGACTACCTGAGTGGTGTTTTTGAGACGAAAGGAACCAGTGGTTGAGGAGTCTCAGTGACATAGCTCAAAATCAGTCACAGTAAAGTAGATGTACTTATTCTTTGATATCTTTTAAAGTTTAAATATTCGCACTAGGCTTTATCTCTTCAGATTGCTGATTCTCACGCAAATTGGTTTACTTTGATATCACTCTGTTTCTATCCTCCTGTTCTTTGTGTACTTCTTTAGAGTGTGGCAACTTCAGCTGATGCACCTGTGTGCGAGGTTCTACCTTGATTTTGTCGGTCATATATATATATATATATATATATATATATATATATATATATATATATATATATATATATATATATATCGAGAAATCTATAACACACGAACTTATTGAATAAACGATACAAAGATTCAGTAAGGGTTAACTTAGTCAATAAGAAACGCAAGAATATTAACGGTAAAGCAAACAAAAATCTGAGTCACATCACCTTTGATTTGAAAATTATGTCTGATACCATCAAAGTAAGTTGTAGTCGAGTAAAAATTCTTTTTTTATGTACCAAGAATGTTTAAATTTAAGTATAATTAGAACCATACTTTAAGGGCTGTATCAGATGATTTTCGACCTCATTATGCGTGGATGCATCTGCACCATTCAGACCGATTCTGGGTCATTTCACTTAGTTTCAAACCCCCGATCTCCGGAATACTCTTGGTTTTCACCTAACAGGACCGCGTCATTTGAGTACACTAAATCTACGAAGCATTCTCCTGTGATAGGGTCAATCCTTTGGGAGTCAGAAGACGATTAGGAGGCCTCCATAAGTGCGCCTGTGATAAAGTTGAATAAGAATGAATAAATTGATCATCCTTAACGGACACAGCTCACCTGACAACTCACCATAGGCTGTAACATGCTCACTAGTGTATCTGACTCCCCCACACTAGATAGAAATTCAGTTGACTATAAAACCCTTGACCACTGTCCATAAATGCCTTCGGGACTACTCCGTTTGACCCTGCTTTTCCTCCTCATTACTTACCGCTCTCTCGACTTGTGTAAGTATTGAGGATCCTGTTGTGATGTTACATTCGGGATCCGACTGGATAGCTGGCAACGAAATAGTAGCTGAAAGCCAGTTGAACTGTTCCGCTCATCGTTCCAGTTGTTTCCCCTTGCTAGCGAGTGGCAGATTCATCTTTCTCAACTATTGTTTCACTAGCCACTACTGACCTTCACTCCAGTTTCCTTAATAAGTCTTAACGACTCTACTGTTACCTATCGCCACTGGTTTTCCTGTGTAAGTCTTCACTCCCCACCACTGTTCGCGGTCATTGCGTAGGCTTTTAGTTAGTATACATTTGAGCTGCTTCAGCCCTCAGTGTGCTGAGACTGCAGAGATGCTCTCACGTGCATCCGTTAATTCAGAAAAAGCTGCTAAAATCCGCTGGCTCTTTGTAACCACTTTCTGAGGGTCAACCGTGGCCTTCAACACTGTTTTCACAGCAGAATGGAGATGACACCAAGCTTCTCCTGAATGATATTCTGTTCCGATAACTGTCAAGCCAGTTTCTCGCTGAGACTGTTTCTTCTTGAAGTACCTAAAAAAGGGTTATTGCGTGGCTGCAGAGCTCAAGGGACATCCGTTTGAGGCCGGTCACGTACGGCCTTCTTGGAGGTTTAAGATTTTGGTTTGCTGATTCTGAAGTCGGCTATAAACCCATATCGCCGGCACTAGTATGCCTTGGAGTAGAGGAAAGTGCTACTTTTAGGGCTGACTTTTTAAACCCCAGCCCCCACGCACTATGAAAGCAGCATCAATGTGGCACTGCTCGTCATCCACAGGAAATATCTTAGTGCTGCCACTATCCCATCCAGCTGGCAGTACAACTTGACCCTCGGACCCTCTTCATAGTGCGAAACGCGACACTACGACGGTAACTGCTTTTTATCTTGCTACTATCCAACCGACCTTGATTGGTGAGACCTCGAGGGAACAAGCGTTCCAGACAGCATAGCTCGGATCATTGTGATACACAAACCCGACCACCACATCAAGGTAGCAGCTATCTGTTGATATTTTCGACTGAGATACGAATGCCCAGTTTATCTTAATTGGTAGTGATTCACAACCTGGTCGACCAACTTGCTTTGTGATCTACGCTTAATTTTGGCATTTTTTCACGTGTTGATTTTGCCAAGCGTAAGGAATGTTACGAGAACACTTCTAGGCGAAAATATCTGGGGTACTAATATCTAATTTCAGCCCCCATGCTTGATAGTCATATGATGGGATAGAGTGGACTGCATCGCAACATACTGGTCGGGTATTTCGTAAGTGCCAGAGGTGACGTAAGTTAGTAAACGCCGAAAAGTTGTATATGGACGTGTTGTAGGTCTGCTATTTATGCATACAAAAATGCGTAATAGGTTTGAACTAAAATAGAAAGAGTGAACATTTCTAATTATCTTTTTTACGTCACTTGCCTTGATCCTTATACTACAAATAAGTGCAACCGCTTTACTAAGAGACTACCTTGGAACTTGACAGTAATCCCAATTGACTGCCTCGTTCTAAGCGCTGATGTACCTTTAATCTACAGGATTTGATCAATGCAGCCATAAAAGGTGTCTGATCCTTCCAACTTTTCTGTTCATCAACTGCTGCTTAATGTCAAATGAAAGTCGATATTCAGAAATTTGATTACAGCTAAAGAAATTTGTCTTGTTATGACAGACTGGATATATGTGGACTGCGCACAAGAATACATTATATAGCGTGGACAATCATACGTGGATAAAACTTCGTGAAACTTATACATTAGGCATATTTGATTGTTGTTGTATGAATTTTTATGCACAACAATGATTAGTGACAATTGAAGTATGTTCATCTATAGACTGTGGGACCTCACTACATTAAGTTCAGGTACTTTGATTCCCATAATTGTCATGTATTAGTTGGTGTATAGACTTTTGCTATGGTTACACTTCCCACTATACAATATCTAGTTGTGAAATAATTTGTCAACTAGTCAACAAGACTAGATCATCAGTTCGTCTAGATAGAAATGTTCTCTTTAGAAGGATACTTAAGACATAGTCCGATCATTTGAATGCACTAAATTTTATTCTCAAAGTATTTTTGGTGGAATTGCGATGTTCTTGTTTTTAATTCCTACCCTCTGTTTCCATGAGTTTTAATGTAGCAAACGTAAAGACTGTGTTGATATATATCTATGACTGTTAAAATTCCTCACATATACACTCTATCAACGACTGTTTAGATGGAATACAGGATACACTGTTCATTTTTTCGAATTTCCGATTGTTCAACTCTCGAAGGAGATGCACTCGATCACCTTGTGCATTAAGCCACATCTATTGTGTGAGAGCTAGTGATACTACTTCTTTGGTTGCCCAAGCATCGGCAGGTGGAGCATTTGTCAACTTGCATCACCTGTGGCTCCAGTTAACAAGATATCCCACTATCTATCAAAGAACGAGTATGCTGCACTGCAGTAGGCCATACGACTGTTAACAGTAGAGAATATTCAGCGATTGTAGAGTTTTAATCATAGATGATATCTTCATAGCATTGCTCACGTGTGGTGAAATCACCATGTGAGCAATGTTGAGGTCAGACTAAAGATACTAACCAAGACAGGCAAGTCGATTGATAAGGTTGTGAACCTTAGTCAACTGAGATGGCTTGTATACGTACTGTGCACACCTTGACGTGCTATGCTAAGCGAAGTTAGGTCAGGTTGGAATAAGGTTCATAGTGGCCAAACCAAGACTTGGCACCAGTCCATCAAGTCTCTTACTGTTGGCCTGAGCCGTGTGGGGAGATGCAGACTGCCTTGTTGGGGTCCTCGAGACGAAAGGGACCTTTGGTGATATGGCTGAAAATCGGTCACAATGGCACCGATATATTCACTTCTTGACATCTAGTAAGGCTTGAATAATCACACTATCCGTTATCTTCAGATTGTTTATTCTCTCACACAACTTTATCTACTTTGATGTCACTCCTTTTCTGTCCACTTATTCTTTGTGTAATATTGTAAAGTGTGGCAACTTGAACCGACTGGCCTACGTTTGAAGTTTTATGTTGGTTTTGTCTGTCAATCAGATGGAGCAGGGTTCGAACCCGTGGACCATTGGTTGATAGTCATCTCTTTAAACCACTTAGCTACAGCTCCACATGTCCAGGAATAATAAACAACTTATCGCAAACTTCATCATTGTAAATAGCTCTAGTGATGTCTATCTCTGTGTATATTGAAAATTCCCTCCCCTTCTTCAATTCACTTTCACTGTGCTTAGCATTAATTTGCCATTGTAATTTTTCTTATTTGCAGAGACGCGTCGTTAAACTTGCTGAAGTGAAAACAAGCATTACATCTTCTGAACAACAATTTTATGAGCAAAAGAATTCTACTTTATCAAATCTACTGGAGGATTTAAGTTCGCTAGTTGAATCCAATGATTCACAAGCTAAAAAAATTGGTGCTGAAAAATTAATGAAAGAATTGTTTAATGAGGTTGTTGAAGAACGAAGTTTGGATGTTCTTTCTGGACCAGAAAAAGATCGCTTTTCTTGGTATGCCAAAGAGGCTGAGAAACGACAAAAGTTAGCTGATAGTCAAGCGCGAAAAGCAGAAAAACAACAACGTAAAACACGGAAGTAGACGGAGAACATTGTTGCCGGCTGACTATATTGTTTATTCGCTTTTCTTACCTGTTAACTTTTGTATAAACTACTTGTACATAGTTATGCCTTCACCAGTGCTGTAATCTCTTAGCTTACATTATTCCAAAGGTTAGTAAAGTCGGTACAAATCATTTACTAGTTATAATGCCCTAGCACAATTATGTATTGATTCAGGTTGCCATGTTTTACATCACTGTGCAAGTGGAGCTGTGACTTATTGGTTTATATAGATGACATTTAAGCATTGGGCCATGACTTTGAGCCCCACTCCACCTATTGAGGGTTAGGTAGCCAGGTAGTATCACTAGCTCTAACACAGTAGGTGGAGCTCGTTGCCTACTGCAAGAATGTTCCATAATGAAGGTTTATGAAGAGTTGAAAAAACGCTCTACTTATACACAATACTTTAGGTATTGCTTTTTCTCTCGGTAACTTTGGTTATAGTTGATAGAATAACTAATTGAAGCTTGATATAGTTGTTTAGTTGTAAATGTGCATGATTTCAGCGAAGCGATTCTCACTTCCGGCAGAATTCGCAACTTCGGCTACTCACATATAGCTTCTTCTTTGGAATGATGTCTATTGCTATGCTTTACGTGAGTGGATTTTAACTTTCTGCTTTATGACGTACACAAAATCCAGGAATATATGATGAGTACATACGATTCCCCGATTCTCGAGGTAACATACCATGACTCTGTTCCTCGTCATATTCTCGACACTTATAACTGCTAAAAGAAGCGATATTCTTCAGCCGCCCACTCACCTTAGCATTATTCACTTTACGTATCGTTAAGTATAAGGTGGTTTTAACCTCAATTGTTATAAAACTTTAGAAATCAATGATGGGTTATGCTTGGTTATTTCCTTCGATTGACTTGTACAGTAGCAATTTACATCCGATTTTCGAATGCCTAGTCCCCTTTAGTGTGTCTAGAAGAAAAATCATGATGTTCCCGGAGAGTCCTGCAGATATGCGGTTTGCTCCAATCGCTCGTTTATCATAACTATTTTATTCCGTAAACAAATGATCAACCTAAAGTAAGGTCCCGTAGAGATGAGTGGCTAGCTCATACTATCATCAATATAGGTGGGAGGAAGGGAGATAGCAACTGAAGAATAAAATTAAATGACGAACCAACTATCATATATTACTGCTGATCACAGTGAAGAATTCTACTTTGCACATGACTATTGCTGACTATCAAGTACATTGCGAGATGATAGCGAGTTTTACAATACTAAGCATTTGTTCACCTTGACCTTTTCTTTTACATCGACTAGCGTGTCGCACTGCAGATGTCTTGTTAGCACTCCTTGACTGTTTGTTTTAGTCATGTGGGGCGATGCAGACTAGCCAGTTGGTATCTGTACCACAATAGAAACCAGTGGTTGGAGACTCTAGGTGATGGCATGGCTCAGAACCTATGTCAGTGCTGCAGATGTATACACACATTATCTTCATTTCAACGCTATACCAAATCTCACCATTTTGTCATTCTTCTTTTCTCTCTTTTAATACTTTATGTTTCTTTTGAGTGAATTTTGTTTTCTTCATCTTCCAGTTCACGGTCTTTTTAATTGATGCACTACTGATATATGATCTGTGGTAACTCGGACCGTTACGCAGTAATGCCTGGTTCTATGTTGAACTAGATGGATAAATAGGATGTCAGCGCCCAGTAGTAAAACCTAGCGAAATTCAACTAAAATGTATTTCAAGTTGTTATTCATCGAAGACTGACATCAGTTGGAGGAACAAAGGAAACCTGGGAGCACTGGACAGCTGTTTCGTCCTAGTATGGGACTCCTCAGCAGTGCGCACCCACGACCCCACCAGCAGGGATCGAACCCGCGACCTTCAGGTTCCGCGACCAGCGCGTTACCATTGAGCCACTGGGTCAGAATCCAATGCTCCATATTTCCAACTTCTGTTAGCTCACGATATAGCGCAAACCGCCACCCAATGTCATCGTTGAGTATTTGTCCTCACGGCCATCAGGCTTTGACTCCACCGGTCACGACTTGTCATTGGAACTTCGGGAATACTTCTCGAAGCTAGTCACCAACGAGCACTAGTTCAATTAAATTTTGAGGGGGTTGTGGAGATTTGGAAATATTTCAAGTTGTTATTCATCGAAGACTGACATCAGTTGGAGGAACAAAGGAAACCTGGGAGCACTGGACAGCTGTTTCGTCCTAGTATGGGACTCCTCAGCATGTATGTTTGAATATTCAGATTGATCAGCATTACCGAATTAGTATGTGTAAAATAGTTTAGCACTTTTCATAGAAAGCAGATTATGTGCATAGATTATCGCATACATAGTTTGGAGCTATAATTCGCTGTTTTAGGCGTTTGATTTCAAGTGATGGGTGATGAATCCTAACTGTGTTCCATCTACTGTTGTCACAGCAGTCGAATGCTACCATGAATAATCTGTACAAAATAACTGTGACTCATTGCTTACTGCAGACATGTATACGCCATCGTTAAGTGCATTATTTGAACTCTATGCGTAGAACAATTTGATTGATCTAATCAGCAATCTCAGTTTCCAGGTGTGTTTCAAAGTTCTAAAGAGATAGGAGACTGTCTTATAGTATATTTACTGGTTATCTCAAGTCGGTGAAAAAATTAACCAAGAAAAGTTATTGTAAAGGTATGCTGTACGTTAAAACCTTGAATTTTCACAAATGCTGCAACATTCTGCTCACATTACCTTGATTATACTAGGCTGTTTGTCGTTAGGTCTTAAGCTGAAAATGCGCAACTCTCACTTATTGTCTTCGTTTACAGTGATTAATTAACTTGGAATTGAAAGAATAAAGTGTAGAAAATATGAAGTAAATACTTCTTTGTTCTGTGAAATGAATTCAAGATCACATTTGTCTTTGTCCACGTTTATGCTTATACTTTGTTATCCAACGATCAAAACTTGGAAAACGTTGCATTATAGCACAAAATAGATTTGCTGGTACCAATTGATGCTGTTTGATAAGATCTTCAATTGCCAAACGAACCTAGTTTTAAAGAAGGAAAATGATTGGAGAAGAATAAAATGACTACAAAGTGATATACCCAGTTGCATTGATAAGACTTGTGTAACTCATGTATGAGAATGAAACTAAGGGAATGTGAGAGAGTTATGACTCCATTATCGTCCCATTTATCATGAAGCGAAACGGTATTATTTACTGGGTGGTGTTGAAGGCAGCATTCGACTCCGTCGATCGAGGTTCTGTGGCAATATCTCTCAATGAAAGGGGTACCGAGTACGGTACACCACCTTGTTGAGGATTAGAGCCTATGGTAAGATGTCGAGTGGTGTCCGTCAAGGATGTCCACTCTCCCTATTCTATTTCAGTTCTATCATAGACCTAATGGGGGTCTCCCTATCATCTGACTACACACGGACTGACCTAATCACAGGAGAATGTTTGGTAGACCTAGAATACATAGATGACATACTCCTGACAAAATGCAGTCTTCTGAACACTGAGAATGTTTGGGATACGTTTCTCACCACCCAAGTACAAAGTGTTTCTCCAGGACTGGTTTTCAACGATGCCCCGGCTAACGGTGGAAAGCGAAGTGGTTGAACACTTACATGGGAAGTCGGAGCAGCCCTTTTGGCTCAGTGGCCGATGAATTCTCTGGACGGATACAAAAGGTTTGGTTGAATTTCGCCAACTTAAGCCGTCTATGACGCCACCGCGATATCCGATTGTCGACTAAGGGCCGAGTTTAATGTGCTGAAGTCCGCTTTGTTCTGCTGTATGGCTGTGAAACATAGGCATTTAAAGGCGGAGGACGTGAGAAGGCTTCAGGTGTTTAACCATCGGAATCACTGCATGAAGTCCTTGAGTGTTCGTTTGAGCCATATAGGGTGATGCATACTAGCCGACTGGGATCCGCCGAACAAGAGAAACCAGTGGTTAAAGACGCTAGGTGATATAGCTGAAAACCATAGTCAGTGGCGATGTATACACACATTATTCTCATCTGAAGGGCTATATTTAGTCTCACTGTTCCTTTCTCTTCTTTCATTATATTGCCTTGTTACGTAATTTGATGATATGAGGTGTGGGAACTTGGACAGTTACGGAGTAATTCCTGATCCTATGTTGGTTATGATGATGATGATGATGAGTACTGGTTGGTATTTGGAACACAGTCTTTCATTATCACTGGTTTTTCGTTCTCAGTCATAAATTTAATTGGTAATAGAATTTTTCTCACATCCAAAATTGGTGTTGCATCATTCCTGATATTTTAAAACTCCTATTCAACCCCATCCTATTGGGTTAGTATGTGGACACAACAAGTTTTGTTACGACGGAGGTGTTGTTTTTGAGATTTTTATAATTATCTTGATCGATCGGTTAGTTTGACCTATGTACTTGACCTCATAGTTACACTATATAGAATTTGATAGGTCAAATTTTGTTTAGTAAGTTCAATCAGATCCTTTAATCGAGAAGGAAAATTGTCCCTAGTCCGATTTATGGGTTAGGTGAACTTGGAACAACATTACACGAAAACTGTCTCAGTTCAACTTAGCATCAGAAAAAAAATCCATATTATAAAGAAGATAAATGAAGGTGGAAAGGAAACAATGTTAGAGCCTATGATGAGATATCCAGGGAACTGTGCTCATCGAGTGGTGTCTGTCAAGCGTACCCGCTAGGGAACTAACTCGAAACCTTTAGATCTAATAAACGCGTCAGTCTAAATCACGATCCCGTAGTGTAATAGTTAACGCATTTCCTAAGAGGTCGTTAGTGCTTGCAGCTGATGACTCTCATTATTATATAATTTTATTTATTATTAGTCCCTTGGGTTCCTAGCGGAACATAGGGCTTCAGTAGCACGTCTCCAGTGACCTCTGTTCTCTGAGATCTTTTGAACCTGGTTCCACGACAGCCCACAAGCTCTTATTTCCTCCTCGCACGATCTCCTCCATGTCACCTTCGCCTCGGACGCCCAACTTATCGCTTCCTATCGGGGTTCCACTCGAGGGCCTGAGGCGCGATGTCCCCAGTCGGCCTTCTCAATGTATGCCTAATCCATCTTCACTTCCTTCTGTATATTTGTTAAGCGATGGGTTTTTGCTTGGTTCGCTCCCAGAGCTCCTTGTTGCTTATTCTTTCTGGCCATTTAATCTTCAGTAGCGAGCGTAGGCAGTTCTTGATGAATGTCTGTAGTTTATTGGAAATCCCTTTCGTGACGCGCCAAGTCTCTGAACCATACGGAAGCACTGACTTGACGTTGGTGTTGAGAATCCGTATCTAATTCCGCATGCTGAGTGCAGAAGATCTTCACACTGGTTTCAGGCTAATGAAGGCCTGTCTTGCTTTTCCGGGATGACTTTCATGCTAGACGAAATAGCTGTCCAGTGTTTTCAAGGTTTTAATGATGTTTAAAACCTGCTGTGTTGTTCTGAATTTCAATAACTTGTACTAAAATACAGAAGCGACAGTTTGCAATATACAACGTGAACATTCCTGCCTTATCCATGGAAAGAAGATGATGTTTTTAGAAAGATATCCACTTACCCGATTAGCCAGTTCGTCAGATGTTTCATTTACCAGTGGATAAATAGGATCACCAATATACGTCCTAGACGTAAAAACACAAAAAAATAATCATACGATTAGAATACAGTCTACGATAATCATACACTGAAATGAATATAACCAACATTACCTCCAAAATTGTCAGTATAATCTCTACTAGAGTCAGACAGATGACCACCAAAGGTCATGGATGTTGGCTGTGTTATGTCGTGGAATGACACAGGGATAGGTTATCGGACGACCACTGGATACCGACTTAGCAGCTGAATGGTAACGCCCTCGCCAATCCTTTGCTACACCGTCAGCGAACACTGAGGAGAAGCCGAAAGTTAGGACGAAGCTCCTACAAATCAACAACTAAGTAAAGTCTGCCATCGACACAGATCACCTGACAGTAAAGAAAATCGATCGTTTCTTCACTTTACTACTTCCAACCATATTATTAACGCATCTCCTGAACATCTTTCGTAATACCACTATAAAGTTGACTTCGTACCGAAACTAAGATATTACGCTTAGATGCACTCGTTTTCTCAACTGTTATATGTCGTAGGTTCGATGACATATCGGTGAAAAGGAGTACGAGCTATTACATAGTGTGTGTTGATCAACTTTGCCTAACCACTATTAGCATAGTGAAACAGGATGACAACCACACTTTCATAACCTATGACTAAAACTTTTGAAGGAGTTTTCCAGGAAGTGTTTAAAGAAGGTAAGATTTGTTAACCATGATCTAAGAATACGCTAGCCTAATATAACCATAAGACATTCCATCTGCAGCACTTCCATCAGACGGAATTTTTTCCTACTGATCTGTGGATGGAAACTAATGGATAACATCCAAATAGTTAGTTGTGAACGTACGGTTCTGCCTGATTTGATTCAAAGTATAATTTAAAAAAACGTTAAAATTCATGTAAAAGTAAGTTGCCGTTTAAAACGACATTTCTTCAGACGGTACAGCCGAAAACTACTGACACGATGGTGCGACAACATATACCAGAGATGGTAGTCTTTTCCATATCTCAGTAGGAGGTGACTGCTGTGTGGGATAGGTCTTCTGCTGTTACGTCTCATGGTGATACTGACCAATTAGATTCGTTTACAACATGCGGTAAGATTAGGGAAATATTGCTTCATGACTATGTATGCATATGGACTACAAAATGTGTCCTAAACACTCCAGAAAATAATACTGTTTCACGCTATAACATAAAACATTTATTATTATTTTTCCAAGTGGAATATTTGGTTTCAGTAGCACGTCACCATTTCACTCTCCAAACTGCACTCTTTTCAACCTAGCTCTACGATCCCCCATAAACTTTCATCTCTTCCTCACACCATCTCCTCCATGTCACCCTCGACTCAGACGCTCAACTCATCCTTTCTCATTTCGTTTCCACTCAACGGCCTGGTCTGACGCCTGATGTCTCCGAACCGTCTTTTTACTGTATGTCCAATCCAATCCATCTCCACTTTCTTCTTCTGCATATTTGTTGGGAGATGGCTTCCTGGTTGGTTCGTTGCCAGTCAGTCAGTCAGCCAGCCAGCCAGCCAGCCAGAATTCCTTGTCGCTTATTCTTTCTGGCCATCTGATCCTCAGTGTCAGTATGGAGTGAGCGTGGGCGGCAGCTGTTCGTGTATGTCTGCAGTTTGTTGGAAATGCTTTTTGTAACGCGCCAAGTCTCTCAATCATCACATAGAAGCACTGACCTAGTGTTGAAACTCCGCATCTTGTTCTGTATGCTGAGTGCAGTGCAGTAGATCTCCACACTGATTTCAGAGTAATGCATGAAGGCCTGTCTTGGTGACATCCTCATCTGTGTCTGTGCCGCCGCCTGTAGTTGGAAACGATTCTGCCTAGGTAGGTAGATAGGTTGGTAGGTGTAAGAGACAACTTCCTTTACATTTCTCGCGTTGATGGTGATTGGTGCTTGTTGTTGCTTGGTTGTTTGGTATCTTCATCACCTCTGTCTTCTCTAGGTTCACCTGAAGGAGGTTCCGTCTTCGCCGCCTCTTCTGCCAACTTGTTAGTTTCCGCCTATAGATCTTCGAGTTTGTGTGAGTAAGTACAAGTAAGTTATAAAACAGATTTAAAGATGGTCTTTATGGTGAGATGACGTCTCACCGAATCGGCAGCAAGTTGACAACCAGCTGCCATAAGGAAAGTTCCTGACGGTACCGATCAGTAACCATCCAGCCAGTTTGCAGTTGGACACAACACCAGATATGACCATTATTTCTGAAAAGCTCTGGAGTGATACTGGTTCACCGCCTCTACAGAAAGCAGAAAAAGCTGCAATGAGAGTGCATGTGGAGGGTAACTCCCATTGTCCGGTAACTTCGCATGTAATGTCTTCTCCAACGGTCATTTAATTAATGGAACATACTATGTTGTTGAAGCCAACCTAAACTTACTGGGTTTGGATTGGTTTGACCGCCTGGGGTTATCAGACATTCTAATCAATACCCTCTGTAACCAGGTGGAAAAGCAGTCCCAATCTCCTGAGGTCACTGAAAAATTCGTAGATGTTTTTCTACCTAATCTCGGCCGGTTCACAGAATCTCTCGCTGTATTATGTCTTCGGTCTGGTTCCAGCCCAATTTCCCGCCGGAGGATACGGGTGCCTTGTTTCTACTCCTTAACAGTTACCGGCAAAAGCATTGACGAGGCGCAGACGGCGCGCGACATATCAAGCTGTCATGCCTAGAACTTCAACACCCTCGTACTATAGAATGTGATGCAGGAGCTCTATCGGTAGGTTCCACCGTTTTGGCAACTGGGTTGATGGGTCTGTTTGCCAACAACGTGGAAACGTAACGCGTGACGTTAATGATGGATTGTGGCTAGCAGTGGAACATAGGATACCCATTTCGTCCTATTTGGGACTCGTCAGCTGGATGTACCTGCCTCTCAGTGAGTGATGTTGTTCCCACCAGCATTCGGACTCGGGATAGATCACTTCAAACGCGTGAACGTTATCAACTACACCACCGAGCCACAGTAGCCACTTCTCGTGCGATGGGTATAGATTTAATGTTATTGCTCGTATTACACCGTCGCTGATTAGACCGAATTGATCAGTCTGTGTTGGCATATGGGCTCCTATGCGAATGCCTCGATAATGTCTGTGTTTTAATGATATATAATAATGATGGGCAGTGGCTAGCAATGGAATCCAGGATGCGCATTTCGTCCTATTTGGGACTCTTCAGCTAGATGCACCTGCTTCCCAGTGAGTGATGCTGTTCCTACCGGGATTCGGGCTCGCGAGCAGGTGCATCCAGCTGACGAGTCCCAAATAAGGCGAAATATGCATCCTGGATTCCACTGCTAGCCACTATCCATCATTACTATACGTAATTAAAATAGGCAATATCGAGGCATTCGCACAGGAGCCCATATGCTAATAGAGACCGATCAGTTAGGTCCAATCAACGACGGTATGATATAAAAACAATTATGCTATAACGTATGATGTTCGAGTGGCGTGCAAAATCTGGACGCGTCAGCGCAACCATTTGCGGCGGCGAGGAACAATAGGAAGAAAAGAGCCAATGAATAATCTACCATCAAATTTACTGTTGGATACATTCAAACTACCACCGGCATCAACGGGCAGTCCACTTACAATAAAACCTTCTGAGAATGTCGACCTATTCCCACGACGATGGAATGGCAGATGCCGCCAACAGAGAGTGCCACTACAGTTCAACTCATACAGAATACGTTGCTGAGTTCTTCAAAAAGGGGGGGTGTTAGGGATGTTTATATCCCTTATATTCCATACTTATATATATATATATATATATATATATATATATATATATATATATATATATATATATATAAACTGGTTTATTAGCGCTCTTTTCTCGTACATGGGTCATAGTTCATAAGACCCGCTATTGTTCTGATTGGCTCCTACCTCTTTAAATGTACTAATTATTCCTTGTCTTTCAAAGGTTATTATAAACTTTATAAATAGGGTCTATTTTCACTCATAAACATTTTCAGTTCGAGATACTATAAAGTCATCTAATTTCAAGTCTTTTGATTTCTCTTTTAGAATCACTCGGGTTGCATCGTCTCAAACCTTGACCACCGATCGTTAAGTATTTCCGTTCGTTCTCACAACTCTGAATCATAACAGATACTCAGATGCAGTAGTCCGTTCTGTTGAAATTAGACGACATGAAACAATTACAGAGTATTGATCATGGATGCCTTCATAGCATTGTTCGCCTCTGGTGGAAACACTGTGTAAGCAATGTAGAATTCAATCGAAGGGAACTGATGAAGTTGTGAAGCCTTAGACATGTACTACGCATACGGAGTCACCTCAAAGTTGGATTAGGCTGGAAGATGATTCAGCGTGATAAAATCAAGACCTGGCACCAGTCCACGATGTCACTAACAATTGGTCTGAGCCATTACGGAGGGTGTAGACTACTTGACTGGGGTCCCTGAGACGATAGGAATCTGTAGTTGCATGTTTAAGCCCTAGACAACACATATTAAGAATATTACTATGAACGAACAGATTCATATTGATATTTTGATTTGGATTATAAAGGATTCTCGATAAGAATATTGGACTACAGGATAGCATTAATTCATTCACTGGTTACTAGAGGGGAACCAACTTCATGTTGTACCTAGTCCTAAGTGCCGATCGAATTCTATACCGATCATTTTTGTAATGTGAACAATAAGCCAGGAGGCTCATCATCGCAATGCATAAATTAGCTTAAATGATAGATTAGGCTGTATTGATTATGATGCCTATTCATCACATTGTACACTCATCATATGAAGATTTTTATTTGAGGTAAAGAATATGCAAATAGCAAACAATGATCTTCAAATATATCTTGAAGAAGTTGTAAATAAATTTTGTATTTGTTATTCTCAATGACATATATTTCATAGCCGCAAAAATGAGCACAGAAGAAACAAAAGTTTAATTCTATCCAACCAACTTGAAGAGCATTTCCCAAAGAACAGGTTGGACAGGCTAACAGTAATTGAAGTACAACCAAATACAGACAGAATTTCTTGCTCTACTGGTTTTCTTGGATCCACCTATAGGTTTTCTGGATAGTAGTTCGAATTAAATTACTTACCCTTATAGTGTTACCTACTATCACCGATGATTTTGATTATGATCGACTGGACTGGATCATGCAACAAACTGTGAGGCGGTGTGAGAAAATGGGTATACGCTGTTTGACCGATGAAAAAGACTAAGACCCTAGAAAATTTGGATTTCGCCGATGATGGTTTATGTATAATGTTGCACACAAACTCGAAGATCTATAGGTAGAAAAACATCTACGAATTTTTCAGTGACCTCAGGAGATTGGGACTGCTTTTCCACCTGGTTACATAGGGTATTGATTAGAATGTCTGATAACCCCAGGCGGTCAAACCAATCCAAACCCAGTAAGTTTAGGTTGGCTTCAACAACATAGTATGTTCCATTAATTAAATGACCGTTGGAGAAGACATTACATGCGAAGTTACCGGACAATGGGAGTTACCCTCCACATGCACTCTCATTGCAGCTTTTTCTGCTTTCTGTAGAGGCGGTGAACCAGTATCACTCCAGAGCTTTTCAGAAATAATGGTCATATCTGGTGTTGTGTCCAACTGCAAACTGGCTGGATGGTTACTGATCGGTACCGTCAGGAACTTTCCTTATGGCAGCTGGTTGTCAACTTGCTGCCGATTCGGTGAGACGTCATCTCACCATAAAGACCATCTTTAAATCTGTTTTATAACTTACTTGTACTTACACAAACTCGAAGATCTATAGGCGGAAACTAACAAGTTGGCAGAAGAGGCGGCGAAGACGGAACCTCCTTCAGGTGAACCTAGAGAAGACAGAGGTGATGAAGATACCAAACAACCAAGCAACAACAAGCACCAATCACCATCAACGCGAGAAATGTAAAGGAAGTTGTCTCTTACACCTACCAACCTATCTACCTACCTAGGCAGAATCGTTTCCAACTACAGGCGGCGGCACAGACACAGATGAGGATGTCACCAAGACAGGCCTTCATGCATTACTCTGAAATCAGTGTGGAGATCTACTGCACTGCACTCAGCATACAGAACAAGATGCGGAGTTTCAACACTAGGTCAGTGCTTCTATGTGATGATTGAGAGACTTGGCGCGTTACAAAAAGCATTTCCAACAAACTGCAGACATACACGAACAGCTGCCGCCCACGCTCACTCCATACTGACACTGAGGATCAGATGGCCAGAAAGAATAAGCGACAAGGAATTCTGGCTGGCTGGCTGGCTGGCTGACTGACTGACTGGCAACGAACCAACCAGGAAGCCATCTCCCAACAAATATGCAGAAGAAGAAAGTGGAGATGGATTGGATTGGACATACAGTAAAAAGACGGTTCGGAGACATCAGGCGTCAGACCAGGCCGTTGAGTGGAAACGAAATGAGAAAGGATGAGTTGAGCGTCTGAGTCGAGGGTGACATGGAGGAGATGGTGTGAGGAAGAGATGAAAGTTTATGGGGGATCGTAGAGCTAGGTTGAAAAGAGTGCAGTTTGGAGAGTGAAATGGTGACGTGCTACTGAAACCATATATTCCACTAAGAACCTAAGGGACAAATAATAGTAATAAATAGCCCTTCGTGCATCCATTCATAGACGCAGATGTATTCAATCTTTGACATCTTTTGTAGGTTGGATATTTGTACTAACTGGCTGACAGAGTGTCAAACTAAATGTAGAACCTCCTGATACGTGCATCGGCTCAAGATGCTACACTTCACTGAAACATACAAAGAACAAGTGGATTGAAAAAGGGATGATATCAAACTAGACAAAATTGTGTGAGAGAATAGATGACAAGTGGAAATACTCAAGCTTTAGAAGATGTCAAGAATTCAATATGTCTATGGCCTTGTCACCGAGAATAGGTACATACTGATTCCTTTCATCTCGAATACCCTAATAAGGCAGTCTACGTCTCCGCATACAGCTCACATCAACAGTCACAGACTTCATTCAATGATGCCAAGTCTTCGTCTGGTCACCCTGTACTCTCTATCAACTCGATCCAACTTCCCTCAGCACGATATGTCGAGGTTAACGGTGGTTCGGCATGCGCAGAACATGTCCAAGTCATCCCAGGTGACAAAAGTTAACAACCCCTTCAATCTAGTTCCCTGTCTTGCCTGATAGGTTTTCTCTGAATTGAACATTACTCACACAGCGATACCACCTAATGAGAGCAATGCTACGAAGATATCTGTAATCATAAACCGTTTAGTTTTAACAGTCAAGTCTCACAGACGTATAACAAGACAGAACGGACTACTTCAGCACATTATACACATCCTTTGATAGATAATTTGATATCTCACCGACGCCATAGGTGACGTAAGTTGGCAAATTCTAAACAGGCCTTCTGTATCTGATATTTCGTCAGCAACCAGCCCCTACAGGCTGATTGAACTTTCCAACTGAGTGAAATGGTCAACACATTCCACCACTTTACTCTCTATCAATCAAATGTGAGTATATGTGCCAGACCAGTCCTGAAGAATCATATTACATTTGATGGGTGCAAGAGAAACGCATACCAAACATACACAGAAACTGCTCAAGGTATTCAGATTGTTTAGTTTGATATCACTCCTTATCTATCCACTTGTTCTTTGTGTACTATTGTGAAGTATGGCAGCTTGAACCGATTAACCTGTGTTTGAGGTTTTATGTTGATTTTATCTGTCAGTCAGATGCAGGAGAGTTCGAACCCATGAATAATTGATTGACAGTCATCTCTCTAAATCACTTGGCTATAACTCCACATGTCCACCCACTTAGCTATCTTGTGCATTAAGCCACATCTATTGTGTGAAAGCTAGTGATGCTACTTCTTTGGTTGCCCAAACATCGACAGGTGGAGCATTTGTCAGCTTGCATCACCTATGGCTCCAGTTAACAAGATATCCCACTATCTATCAAAGAACGAGTATGCTGCACCGCAGTAGGCCATACGACTGTTAACAGTAGAGAATATTCAGCGATTGTAGAGTTTTAATCATAGATGATATCTTCATAGCATTGCTCACGTGTGGTGAAATCACCATGTGAGCAATGTTGAGGTCAGACTAAAGATACTAACCAAGACAGACAAGTCGATTGATAAGGTTGTGAACCTTAGTCAACTGAGATGGCTTGTATACGTACTGTGCACACCTTGACGTGCTATGCTAAGCGAAGTTAGGTCAGGTTGGAATAAGGTTCATAGTGGCCAAACCAAGACTTGGCACCAGTCCATCAAGTCTCTTACTGTTGGCCTGAGCCGTGTGGGGAGATGCAGACTGCCTTGTTGGGGTCCTCGAGACGAAAGGGACCTTTGGTGATATGGCTGAAAATCGGTCACAATGGCACCGATATATTCACTTCTTGACATCTAGTAAGGCTTGAATAATCACACTATCCGTTATCTTCAGATTGTTTATTCTCTCACACAACTTTATCTACTTTGATGTCACTCCTTTTCTGTCCACTTATTCTTTGCGTACTATTGTAAAGTGTGGCAACTTAAGTCGATGTATTCCTGCTCAACGTTCTACGTTGATTTTGTTAGTCAGTCAACTGAATTTGAAATATGCTAGATATAGAATTTCATCCTAGGCACTGGAATCATCTATGTGAAGGTAGTGACATTATAAGCCACTAGGAAGATATCAAAGCGAGTCGAACGGTTATTTAGTATAGTAGTAGAGTTTAAAAACAAAACTAGGAATAATCAGAAGAAGCAAGCTAGACAACTCAAAACTAAGACGGATATAAGGTGTATGTATGCTATACGGTAACCGACTTTAAGCTGTATACAATGATTGGATCAACTGACAACACGTAACAGTTTATAAATGAGCAAACAGTCTCAATTTTCATTGCCCACAGACTTCCACCATCTTATTTCTTCAAACAATACACAGAGAGTGATGAGGTATATGGTAAAAAGGAGGTGTATAAGACATGTTCCGATCGACCTTAACCTAATAGTCCTTGTTTACCAGTTTATAACAAAAAGAAATTGATACAAAGTAGCCTAAATGAAAATCAACATTTTAAGTCATCCACAAAGTAGACGTTTTTAATACTACAACTTTTTATTTCATGTTACTGTGTAGTCAAGAGAAATCTTATTGGACAATTTTAACTTATAATTGACCAATCAAAATAGGCCATTTAACTTTGCACTGAATGATTTTATATGCTCATTAACCATGTTTGTTGAATAAAATGTCTTTCTTACAGTTATAGGTCAGTTTTTGCTTTTTGATTTTCGTAGCTCACTGAAGTATGTAAAGCACTGAGGGAGAACAAACGTTATTCATATCCAGTTCAAGTGTCGCATCGTGTTAATATTGTTCATATATTTATCAGTATTTATTATTCACTCGGTCACTTTCGAAATATATATATGTAAACAGTTTAATTAAATTCTTAACAGATGTGAACAAAAAAAAATACTACTTACCTAAGCTTTACAGGAAAGTAACCATAAAAAATTGACAAAGGTAAGCGTGTACGTTCATACAGACTACGCCACCAACCTAGATTCATGTAGAATTGATTTAACAATAAGGTATAATTTCAATGTTACCTTTACCAAACTGTACAACTCTTATTGTTTCACGAATATTCTCCGTGAACATTGGATAAATAGGCTGAAAAGAAAATCAATAGACTAGATATATTTTAAATCAATAAATATTAGTGTTATTGCTTGTATTACACCGTCGTTGATTAGACTGAATTGATCAGTCTATGTTAGCATATGGGCTCGTGTGCAGATGCCTCGATATTGCCTATGTTCTTAACTATATATAGTAATGATGGATAGTAGCTAGCAGTGGAATCCAGGATGCCCATTTCGTCCTATTTGGGACTCACTGGTCAGCTGGATGAACCTGCTTCCCAGTGAATGATGTTGTTCCCACCTGGATTCGGACTCGGAAGCAATCGTTTCAAACGCGAGAGCGTTACCAAGCTGACGAGTCCCAAACAGGACGAAATGAGCATCCTGGATTCCACTGCTAGCCAGTGCCCATCATTACTATCAATAGATATTGTTACATCTATGATGACAGTTGAATTCTACAACAAACTTGAGGTTAAACAAGGTAGTCTATACTCTCTTAAACGATTTAAAGGGACAGGGAGTTTTATATTAATTATTGATGACGGCTAGCAATGGAATCCAGGACTCATCTTTCGCCCCAATTGAGACTCGTCAGTCTGATGAAACCAACCTCTCAGAGAGTGATATCATCCCCATTATGACACAGTAAGTTGGGTTGCTCCCAGTTTAATTCCAACCTAACCAAGCTAAAGTCAATATAACATTTGACACAGGTTCCTGGCATGTATAACATATTCTCGAACTACTCAATTTAGAAAAGGTTTATAGAAGACAGATGTCGACTTGGGGTTTTTATTTAGTATACAACTAAACAAGAAGTTCAATTTGAAAGTTTGTGGGGATTTTCTTATTGATTTGATGTTGGCTGGCTGTTACGTCCTAGTATGGGATTCCTCAGCAGTACGCGCACCCATGACCCCTACCAGGGGTCGAATCCAGGACTTTATATTTCTGTAGCCACTCCATCGAAATTCAATGGTCCGTATTTCCAATCCTGTCAGTCCAACCTGGTTGGACTCAGAGGTCACAACTTCTTATTAAAACTTCGAAAATAACCAATTGTTGCAGTAAATGGCCCATGATTACTGAGTTTTGTGCTTGGATACAGCACCCTCAACAGTCTTTCGTAAAACTTATCAATCAGAATGTCTGAAATACACAGAAATCAACAAACCATGTCAGATATCAGAACAAATACACAACGATGAAGGTGGATCAAGCTCGTGTTATATCCCAAATTGATAGAAGTACAAGAATATGAACCATTAGATTCCGGTCAAGTGGCTCAATTATAACATTGTGGCCGCGAAACCTGTAGGTCCTGGATTCGACTCCTTGCGAGGTCAAGAGTGTACGTTGCTGAGGGGTTCCAGGACAAACAGCTGTACAGTGCTCCCAAGTTACCATTTACATGCCTAGTCATGAGTGATGACCGATTCCTATAGATCACTTTTCATTATGGCTACCATGTTGGGAGACTCACCATGATAGTATATTTTGATAGATGTGGTCAACATACCCAACGACTTCGATTCTCGTAGTTGTAATGATACTTGGAATTTCCTGTTGCTACACAGTGCCAAAATGTTCGACCTATGTGTGCAGGCGGGCTCCTAGGCGGATGCCTCTATACCCCGGATGTTCATGATGTTATGTTGATCTTGGTAACTAGCAGAAAAACCCTTCACTTCAAAAGCTAACAGAGGTTGAGTAATTCGGCCCTGTATAGCAACAGGAAATTACAAGTATGATAACGCGTTGCACAAGAGGTGGCTATCGTTCCCCAATGGCTTAATGGATAACGGTTTGGTGTTTGAAGTGAAGGGCACTGGAAAAATATTACTCACTGGGGTGACTAATGAGTCCCAGATAGGACGAAACGCACATCAAACCGGATTCCTCCGCTAGTCACGAAAATCAATATGACTTCGACTCTAAATTTCAAAAGTTATGTTGAAAGAAAAGGGCGAAGGGTGAATCGCTGAAAGTGTTCATTATAACATTTTGTACAGCACTGATGAAATATTGTAACCTTTCCATTGAAATGTCCATTTGCAAAAAATGTTTCATTTCCTCTCCTTCTTCTATCGCGTTTTGCTTTTGATACGCCCACCTCATATCTTGCTTTTTTGTGGACAAAATGTTTACCCATCGCTTGTAATTGCCTATAACTTCTTTCGACCTCTCTCTATCTCTATATATACTACTTATATGCATACTTATCAGTAGTACATAATACAATGTACTGAAAAAGCCAGAAATGTAGTCAGATAGACTTGATAAGGTGGTGGTGAAAACTATTTATCAAAAAATTCTACGCAAATATTTCACTAAGATTGTAATGTTCAAAATTTTCACCAGATTAAAAATCAATAAATGATAATGTAACATCCTCTCCTTACTTGTCCAGATAATAATGAGACTCGTGCAAAACCACGTCGTTTCTCCCATATCACAGTATAAAATTCATCAGAGAATAATGCTTCACGAACACCACCTGGTGCCAGTAATAATACATCACCTTGTGATATTTTACCATCTTCAGTGAAAGAAATAAAATCAAGTGTTTGTTTGTTTTTCATCATGAATAAATGAAATCAATATATTATCTAAATAATAACTAGAAACATATACAGTAGTTTGATAATGCAATGATCCCGGTGGGAAGCAAGTACATCCAGCTGAAGAGCCCTAAATAGGACGAAATACGCATCGTGGATTCCACAGCTAGCCACTACCCATCATTAAAATACAGGCAATACCGAGGCATCGGTGTACAGGAGTCCATGTGCCACCAGAGACCGATCATTTCGGTCCAATCAACGACGATATAATACAAGCAATTATACTTTACTTAACCCTGATGTATTTATTCTACACCCTATCATATATGTTGCATGGTGAAAGTTGCGTCAACCTGAAGAGGCAGTTTTCTGACTAAATTTCAACTCGGATATAGAAGGCTCATTTGGCATTCGTCAATTTGCATCGCCAGTGGCTCCAGGTAGCAAGATATCTGACTATCTATCAAAGAGTATACTAAGCTGCAGTGTTCCGTTCTGTCCTGTTGTACAAGCTGTGATACATGGCCATCGAAAGAAGATATGAAGCGATTACACGATGTCTGTGTAGTATTCCTGGAATCACTATTTGAGCAATGTCGAGGTCAGATGAAAGATACTAGGCAAGATAGTCAAGTCGATTGATGAGGTTGTGAGCCTTAGTCGACTGAGATGGCTTGCACATGGTACTGTGGATGCCGAGTCACAGTCTATCTCGATGAGCTATGCTAGGGGAAGTTAAGTTGAAAGAGGGTTTCATCACGGTCAGACCAAGACCTGGCACCAGTCAATGAAGTCTCCTACTGTTGGTGTGAGTTGGGTAAAGTGATGTAGACTACCTGGTTGAAGCCTTCGAGAAGAGAGGAAGCAGTGGCAGAAAATCGGTCACAATGGTGCAGATGTATTCACTCCTTGTTATCTTCTAAAGCTTGAATATTCAGCCTAACCTTTAGCTTCAGATTATTTATTCTTTCACATAACTTTGTTTACTCTGATATCACTCCTTTTCTATTTACTTGTTTTTTGTGTACTACTGTAAAGTCTATCAACTTGAACCAAAGAACCTGTATGCAAGGTTCTACGTTGATTTTGTCTGTCTGTCAACGGTCGTCTCTAGCATTCATAAACCTCAAAGAGTATATTCCTTCTAGATAGCGACTAATCACTCCTCCCCTCCCATGCCCTGAAAAAATAAATGCCCAAAGTTCCCCATCGAACTATTTCAAACCTTTTTTCAAATCGTAGCCTTTAAATGAGCAAGGGTACTATATATCGGAGAAGGAACACCAATAATTCATCCTGCGGTCAGTTTACTCGATGATTCAATCATGGTAAGTTGCAGTCAAGTTTATGCAGAGTAGTGACCTGTAAAGTCACCCTCCCTAACATTATTATTTTTCCTTTGAGTTCCTAGTGGAACATAGAGCTTCTGTAGCACATCTCCATTCCACTATGTTCTCTGCAATCTTTTGAACCTGGCTCCATGACTCCCCATAAGCTTTCATTTCTTCCTCACACCATCTCCTCCATGTCACCCTCGACTCAGACGCTCAACTCATCCTTTCTCATTTCGCTCCCACTCGACGACCTGGCCTGACGCCTGATGTCCCCAAACCGTCTTTTAAGTGAATGTCCAATCCAATCCATCTCCATTTTCTTCCACTGCATATTTGTTGGGTGATAGGTTCTTGGTTGGTTCGTTCCCAGAGTTCCTTGTTGCTTATTCCTGTTATTCTGGTCATCCATCTGATCTTTAGTATCGAGTGAGCGTAGGCGGCAGCTGTTAATAAATGTCTGTAGTTTGTTGAAAGTGCTTTACGTGATGCGCCAAGTTTCTGAACCATATAGCAGAACTGAGTTGACTAATATGGTGTTGAAAATCCGGATCTTGTTTTCTGTGCTGAGTGCAGTAGATTTCCACACTGATTTCAGACTAATAAAAGCCTGTCTTGCTTTTCCGATCCTGGCTTTGACATCCTCGTCTATGCCTGTGCCGCCGCCTGTAGTTGAAACGATGCTGCTTAGGTAGGTGAAAGAGACTACTTCCTTTAGGTTTCTCCCATTAATGCTGATTGGTGCTTGTCATTGATGCTTTTGTTGGTTGAGTGTCTTCATCACCTTCGTCTTCTCTACATTCACTTGAAGTTCCGTCTTCGCTATCTCGCCTCTTTTGTCAACTTGTTAGTTTTCGCTTGTAGATCTACAAGTTTGTGCGATAAGACATTAGACATAAATCATCATCGTTGGCGAAATCTAAATATTCTAGGCTCTTTTCATCGGTCAAACAGCGTATGCTCATCTCACTCCTCACGGTTTGCTGCATGATCCAGTCGACCACAATCAGGAAGATCATGGGTTATAGTAGGCAGCCTTGTCTTACTGCTGTCTTCGTTTTTTTGGAAAAATTTTTCTTTCTAGCTAGAATACTGAAACCTGATTGGTTACTCATGTACGTGATAATTTTTTCATTTAGGGCATGCGCAAAATTATGATCATGTGAAAGCGAAGAAGTTATAGCTGAATCCATACATTGAATCATGTGATCAAGGTCATAAAAGAATATACTTCCAATCATATTTTATAAAATAAACAAAATAAAGAAATGAATAATTACTCTTTAGAGTATGACCCGGTTGAAGATGAGCAACACATTCTTCCACAGAACCTTTAATAGCACCGACAGTTTCAAGTAAACGTCCAAATCCAGGTAAACGAAATAAAAATCTATCTACAACAGGAACAGGAAATCTGTTGAAGGGAAAGAAGAAAAAAAATTGAATTTCATTATTAAAATACTATTGTATTTTTAAGATGAATGAGGATTTCTAATTTAGAGGTAGTATTCATCATGGATTGATATGAGTTGAGGAAGCATTGGAAATCTGGGAGCACTGGACAGCTGTTTCGTCCTAGTATTGGACTCATCGACAGTATGCACCTACGACCTGACCAGGGATAGAACTCAGGACCATTCAGCCACCGAGTTGGAGTTCAATGATTCATGGTTCCATACTTCTGTCAATTCATGATACAGCGCGATTATCACCCAAGGTCTTCAGTTGGTATCCGCCTTCTTTCCGACTTGTTGACCCTACAGGTCATGGCTTCTCAACTAGTCACCCTATATCGTGAATTGACAGAAGTATGAAACCATGAACTATTGAACTCCGACTCGGTGGCTGAATAGTGCATGCGACCGCCATGAAACCTGAAAGTTCTCGGTTCGGTCCCTGGCACGGACATGGGTGAGCGTACCGCTGAAGAGTTCCACACTGGGACGAAACAGGGGTCCAAGTCTTCAACGGTTCTCCAGTTGATGTCAGTCCATCTTGAAATCAACAAATATCCATAAACCTCCAAATTAACTGGTAGAGAGTTAGTAATGTCTGCATCTCTCCTCAAAATGTTTTCATCACATAACCGTGAATTATGACGGCTAACAAGGCAAAGCATCTCATCACCTTCCCATAGCAGTGATAGTTCTTTCTTAGTCAATTTAACTGCATCACCATTTGATGATGAGCAAACTAAATAATCTTAAATTATACGAATCGAAATAACCTTAACAACCCTGGGTCATGGGTTCGAACCCCGCCCCACTTAACAAGGTTTAGGCAGCTAAGTAGTATCACTTAGCCATCCCTCCCCCATCGCTCACTATGAGGATGTGTACAAATTGACTGATTGCATTTCATTCACTCGCTTTAGCAATTGGCGATGATAGTAGATGTAACGGGATTCGAACGCATGACCCACTGTTTGAAAATCAACTAAGTAATAAGTTTACTATTAAACATGATAACAACTTACCTATCACGTTCAATACAATGTCTAGACATAAAATAGTAAGCATCAAATGGGCAAGTTCCATGATAGTATATTAAAAATGCTGGCCCATTGATTGGCAACTTCTCCATACCAATCACTTCATAACCATGAAATATACGTCCATGTGCATCCCAAATAGCAGCTACAATACGTCTTAATAATTCACCTATTGAATCTAAACACATATATCCACTAGTATATGATGATAATGGTGAATGAAATGATCCAGACAATTCAACTGGATATGAGTTACTACGATCAATTCTAGTATTAACAAATATATTTGACCATAATCTATTTAAATGACGACATAGCCAATATCTTAAATGATATAAATGAATAAATAGTATAGTGAAATATATAAAAAAATTAGTAAAAATGGAAGTAATAAAGAAAGTAGAAATGGATGACGTAACCAATAGACAAATGCAATAAAATAACCAGATCCAGGTAGATTAAATAAATAATCTAACCAATCAGATGGTAGTATATTGATGAATGTCTCATTACTAATGTATAAGGTATACAATTGATCGAATAAACTTAAATTATCTTTTATTAGGTAATAAGTAGAATGTAACCACCAAGTAAATAAGAATAAGATAAGAAACAAGATAGGTAAATAATAATTCATTTCTAACAGATAAAACTCAAAGTTGAATAATATAGATAAAGAAAGATATTGAACAATATCAAACAAAGTTTATAAGTAGATAGATGATTAGATCAACAGAAATTTGACATTTTACCTAAATATAAAGCAAAACAATAAGAAAAATTTCATATTAACTTGAAGTAGGAAAAAAAAACTGTACTTAAAGAATGAATTTTACAACTTACTAGATATGAATTAGATGTATAACGTTAATTTACTTAAAGGTTATAATTGAAATCCTTTTGAGTAGTTTGATCAAACCATATCTAGTGAATTTTGAATGAGTTATCAAAAGGAGATAACTGGCTTGAATTCATCAAGTCTTCTCTGATTCAACTATATATATATATTTCTATTCTCACTTCCCCAATTAAACTGGGTAGTGTGTTCACAAACACATTTTACAAGTGAATGCATGGGTATGACCAATCTACTCACCTTCATAAGAGTAAGTAAACTGGTATACACACACACACACACACACACATCGAAGTATTTCGAGTCCTTAGTATATACTTTTTCCTCATCGTCGAGGAAAACGAATAAATAAGACTTTTTTTCAACGTCAAGTTTCTCTCGATCGACCTTCATGTTCAACTTCAAAGAAAAACGATAAACCACTTCGTAGATTGATTTACACAAAGTCAATGTGGAATGGTCAATTTGTTAATTTTCAAAGTTCGATCCCTTTATGAAGGGAACGAAATCTTATTCATTCATTTTCCTCAACGATGAGGAAAAAGTATATACTAAGGACTCGAAATACTTCGATGTGTGTGTGTGTGTATATACACCAGTTTACTTACTCTTATGAAGGTGAGTAGATTGGTCATACCCATGCATTCACTTGTAAAATGTGTTTGTGAACACACTACCCAGTTTAATTGGGGAAGTGAGAATAGAAATATATATATATAGTTGAATCAGAGAAGACTTGATGAATTCAAGCCACTTATCTCCTTTTGATAACTCATTCAAAATTCACTAGATATGGTTTGATCAAACTACTCGAAAGGATTTCAATTATAACCTTTAAGTAAAACTAACGTTATACATCTAATTCATATCTAGTAAATTTCGATAACGCTATTAGAAGACGAAGATTATCTGAACAAACTGTGTGATGTGTATTTGCGCAATACATTTCGAACAATCTGCTCGATCACACACATTTACTTGTCAAGTGAATTTATATATGAAAATGAAAGGTGAAATATAGTGAATATGAGAAGGTTGTGATACACTAGTCTTGGTAATATAATCAGATTGCCAAGGATTACCAAGGTAAATTAAGTGGAACAACAAATTGTTTTTGTACACACAGCGGGGGTTAGGTTTACGAATGGCTAACAACGCTTCAGCAAACTTCAGTATGCACCCCTAATCATTCCTGTATATCATCTTAAACGCTGTTTTCGTATTAACCCTGTGATTCACTTTTCAATAAAGATGTTTTGCTATAGATGACGATGGATGTCTGTCACCTGCACTTATCAAAGTTTGTGTGCTAAACTGTTTTTCTAGCCATTTGGGGATGTGTTCACCTACCCTAGTCTGCATTGAACGATTACTCCTCCCTATGTATGTGTGCCCACACATATATGTAAATTGGTAAACTCAGTAGGATGTGATGTAATCATTTGTGTGAGGTTGAGATTTGTGGTGAAGCAGGTGTTTTGTCGTCTCAACAATGATAAGCTGAGCTGCATAGTATGTTTTACTGATAACAGATTTCAATCTCTGCTTCAATATCATACTACATGTTTCCCCTCTGTATGCTACTTTAAGAAATATGCTTTTCTTCGCGACCGAGGAAACTGTAGGCTTTGGGGGGTCAACTGTTTTTTACAATGGTTGACAAACTGTAATGGATAACCGTTTTCCACTAGAGTGTCTGTCAGAAACTTATTCTCATCATCCATCGTATCAGATGTACAAATACATTGGATTCTATTGAACAAGCATCTTACCAAGCGCCTCTCTTATATTTCATCCGACAAAAACTATGGAAATTCAAATACTGTCCTGTTCAAGTAGACTTCCTATATATTCATCGTTTTATAGATCCATCCTCCCTCCGGCACAAGAGTATATCAAGAAATGCAAGTTGATGGTCTCTTTCTTCCTCACATGTCAGACTGATATGATCTTGTACCTTAATTTACCTTGATAATCCTTAGCAATCTGATTATATTACCAAGACTAGTGTATCACAACCTTCTCATATTCATTATATTTCACCTTTCATTTTCATATATAAATTCACTTGACAAGTAAATGTGTGTGATCGAGCAGATTGTTCGAAATGTATTGCGCAAATACACATCACACAGTTTGTTCAGATAATCTTCGTCTTCTAATAGCGTTATCGAAATTTACTAGATATGAATTAGATGTATAACGTTAGTTTTACTTAAAGGTTATAATTGAAATCCTTTCGAGTAGTTTGATCAAACCATATCTAGTGAATTTTGAATGAGTTATCAAAAGGAGATAAGTGGCTTGAATTCATCAAGTCTTCTCTGATTCAACTATATATATATATTTCTATTCTCACTTCCCCAATTAAACTAGGTAGTGTGTTCACAAACACATTTTACAAGTGAATGCATGGTATGACCAATCTACTCACCTTCATAAGAGTAAGTAAACTGGTGTATACACACACACACACACATCGAAGTATTTCGAGTCCTTAGTATATACTTTTTCCTCATCGTTGAGGAAAATGAATGAATAAGACTTTTTTTTCAACGTGAAGTTTCTGTGCATCGACCTTCATGTTCAACTTCAAAGAAAAAACGATAATCCACTTCGTAGATCGATTTACACAAAGTCAATGTGGAACGGTCAATTTGTTAATTTTCAAAGTTCGATCCCTTTATGAAGAGAAAGAAATCTTATTCATTCACTTTCCTTAACGATCAGGAAAATATATACTCAGGACATTGTTGATAGAGAACTCGAAATACTTAAATGAATTATACCGGAAAACTATTTCCTGCTCAGATTCATAGAAAAGAATATAAAGCCCAAAAATCCAATTGGTACCGAAAAAAATTCCTTTGTTGAACCTTGAATTCAAAAATGATATTATTGTAGACATCGTTAAATAGAAGATACTACACCGCCAACCTTTAAATTATTTTCTCCTGCAATAAACATTTTGGGCGGATTGGACCACATCAATATGCATGTGTATACTCTTATGGAGGTGAGTAGGTCGGTCATACCATGCATTCACTAGTAAAATGTGTTTGTGAACACTACCCAGTTTAACTGGGAAAGTGAGAACAGAAATACATTTTCAGTTGAATAACAGAAGACTTCGTGAATTCAAGCCACTTAGGTCAAAGAGTAAATACAACTACACCATTGTGATCGATTTCCACAAGTGTCACCAACAATCCTCAACCAATGATCCCTATCGTCTTGCGGACTCCAGCCAGTAAAACACTAGTAATAGGTCTTGGCTTGGCCACTCTGAACCTTATCTTCCTACTTCAAGAAACTTCCCTTAACCTGGCAAGTCAAGGTGGGAGGTGGATCGGCATGTGCAACACCTGTTCAAGCGATTTCAGTCGCTAAAGGTTCACAAATACATCAATCTACTTGCCTATCTTGCCTAATACCCTTCGCCTTATGTCAGCACTCCTTACATGGTGATTCCATCAAACGCAAGCAATGCTATGTAAACATGTGCGATGCAACTGCACAAGTAGGTGAGGTAGTAAACACATTCTCCCACTGCACTCACTAGTCCTCAACACTCATCTTACACGTGCCTGAGAAATGTATATTAAACATAATCAGATTTCTCACCAGTCTTCAAAAAACTGCACGACAGTATACTCATACTTTAACTGGTGGTCGGATATCTCGACAACCCCAAAGATTATGCAGGTTGGCAAACAATAAACGGACCTTTTGTATCCTAGCTAGGATTTCGTCGGAAACTAACTCCTTCAGGATGATGCAACTCCACAAATAGGTGAGGTAGTAAACACATTCTCCCACTGCACTCACTAGTCCTCAACACTCATCTTACACGTGCCTGAGAAATGTATGTTAAACATAATCAGATTTCTCACCAGTCTTCAAAAAACCCTGCATTTTGTCACCATCTTCGCATAACACAACAATATCATCAGAGTAGTCCAAGTCGACTAGATATTATTCAGGCAGTAGATCAATCGATCTGGCCTCAGAGACACCTGAGGTTATGCTGCTCATTAGTACGTCGATAATAAAATTAATCAGGAACAGTGGTAGCCAGAAATCCTTGGTGGAAACTACTACTTCTAGTCAATTCAGATGAAAACCCCTGATAAACCCTTACATGGTTGCGTGAGTTTGAGCAGATGACTTTGATTAGGGTTAACTACTTCCATGTCGACCGGTAGGTATACCTGTGTTCCAGAACCTGTAGGGGTGGGGTGAAAATCTAACCGATCCACCTTCAACCAGGTCTGAAAGCTGCCTGGTTTTCTTGAGTTTGTTGTTCACAAGGACCATGGATATTAGTTCAACTCATTCCACTTTGGTCGTTACAAGAAGACTTCTCTCCCTACTTATACACTGGAATAATCGCGAAAACCAACGTCTGACACAAATACCTTTGATTTCCCATTCTCTCCACCACTCTATTAAATGTCATCAATTGACTAACTTGTTTTAATTAAGTTTGCATACGATAATTGCATTAATAACGTGATTATTCCAAAACACACCAGAGTTACGTTAAACATTTCTCGCATGTTTTATGATCATATTTCACAACCATCAAGTGAAAATAGGTAGACTTTCCAAATGTCAACAATTAAATAGAAACTTATGTATGCAGCATTAATCAGAAACTCAACCATTAAATGAGAAAGATACAAATCATCTAGGGAACATAAGTTTCCACATGGCTACGGATATACCTTGTTGATGAGTGTCAACATGTCCGAAACTTAAGTCAAGGTTTTCCATCGATTGAATTCAAATATCTAATGTGTTCACGTCATAAGTAGGCATGCAAAAAACAATTAATGATTAGACTCAGCTGAGTGTTCTTATGAAGTGAAGTAGAACTCTTTTCTAGTCTTTTTTTACGCTAGCCATAAATAACATTTCCGTTTGTATTA